ACTGTCCCACAGTATTCCTTTTCCTGTCTCTTGCTTTCATTCACCACCCCCTTCTTCTTGAACATCCACCTACCCGAGAGACATCTTAGCAGTAACTAGGCCTTAGTCTTAGGGGGCTTCAGTGAGAAAATAAAGTTAGACCAAGTGGTGGGAAGTAATTCCCTTTACATCTCACTCCTTTCCTGCATGGGAGACATGCAACTCTTATCTGAGTGAGTATAGTTATGGTTCAATTCTGGAAGAAACCACAGAATGTACTGTTTAAGATTTTTTTAAATATTTATTTTATGTATTTGGTATAGGGTTAGACTCTTAGTACAGGGTCTCATTACACAGTTCAGACTCATAGTGATTCTCTTGTCTCAGCCTCCCAAGTGTGTTGGGATTACAGGCATGCACCACCGCACCCAGATTCAGAGCCAGCACGGCATCCAGTACTAGAGATTGAACCCAGGTCTTGCATTTACCAAGCAGGTGCTTAGACTGCTGAGATATCTATCCAGCCCATCTTTAAGGTTTTTGAAAACCTTTTATTTAGTAAATGACCTTTCAGGAATCTGGAAGTTTTTAAGTAAACTCCAAAGGCCTTCCTTTTAGGATTACTCAATAGTAGTTGATAGATAAGGAAATTTAAGCTACATGAATGCAGGAATGCTGCTGTGGTGTTGTAGGATGCCTCCCACCCTATTAAGTCTTTATGGAAAACAAGCCTGTGCTACCTACCCTTTAGTTTATTACGAGAAACAGTATTAATCCTTTGGGTCCCATTTGTACCACCTTTCCTAGCATCTTTTTCTGGCTCCCTTGGCAGATGACAGGATGTGACAATGTAGAGACAGGCAGGGCCTCTTCTTAGAGAAGTGCCTGAACTCTGACTTTCCTCACTACTTTAGCTTCTACTTCCTGGTCTATTTTCACCAGAAAGTTTTATTTGAGTTTGGTCCATCCCAAAAAAACGGAGTGTTTCTTTGCCATGAAGTGGTACATTATCTCTCAGTGTATTTGAGGTTGAAGACATATCTTCTTTTGTTGGAAGAAAACTAGAACCAAATTTCGTTGTTCTCCTCCCATCATTCCCTGCCTCTCTTCTGCAAAGGATAGAGTTAATAGGCAAGCAGTCTTTTAGTTATTTGCTTGTGATCATTTCAGAATTCATCACTAAGATATGAGGTGTTAGTAGCACATGGGATTATCAGTGCTTTGCACATAGTTGTTACGGTGAAGGTCGATTTTCTGAGATCCAAGTCTTTGACAGCCACCCAAGGACACTGGCATGTCAGAATTACCAGTGGAGTGGCCAGCAAGATAACTCACTGGTTTAAAGTGCCTGTTTAGGCAAGCTTAGGCAGGGGAGCACCGTTCAACCCCTGACACCACATGCTATACCAGCCACCCTCTCAGGGTGGGCTGAGCCAGCCAGAAAAAAAAAGAATTGCCAGTGGGGAGAAGTTGCAAGTTTAGTCTCTAATGCCATCATATTCTTTTGTCTTTTTCAGCTGTTCCAAAATTCAGTGGCTTATTAGATCAGAGACTCAGGAGCTTAACTGCATAGGTTCAAAGCCTAGCCCTCCCACTTCAGAATTTTATAATGTGAGGCAGATTAATTTTCTTACCTTGGTTTTCCTTATATGTCAAATGAGATTAATAGCAGTATCTGCTTCTTAATACTTATATAGCACTTTGGACAAAGTATGTATCTACCATTATTTTTTACATTGTTTTAGTGTCTGTGTTCCCTTATTCTTTGTGCCCTGCCTCATTCCATAGCAAGTATGTATCTTAAAACATAAGCATAGGAGCTACAGGTATAGGTTAGCAGCACAGTGCCTGCCTGGCAAGCACAAGATCCTTAGTTCAAGTCTCAGCACCCCCTCAAAAAAAAAAAAAAATTAACAGCTCTAGTGCCTTGAAAAATGTAAACATAGAAGCAAAATAATCAAAGGAACAGAGTTTAACATTAAGCTTGAAAGGAGTAAAAGACTGTACACACAGTTGAGCCCAGAGAATTTAAGGGCAGGACTGTTCTGTGTTTAACATCTTCACAATTGTCCACAGATAACATATAGACACTCAGAGGCCTCAAGGATTTATGCTGAGTCTGCCTTCCTAGTCTTACTCCATTTTTCTCATTTCTTTAGTTAATTCATTTGATGTCTCAACTCTACTGATGATTGTTTCCGCTTTCATAAGAAACTCCTAGGGTAGTTGTGCCTGCTCCCTTGCTCTCTGCATATTTGCCTCCATCCCCACTTCTCTCTTGAGCAGCTCATCATAGTCCTATTGCCCAGAACTTTGGTCGCAACTCTTAATCCACTGTGAACCATATCCACATACATCTCATCTATGTTGTCTTGAACTCTTGGCAGGGCTAATATTTTAGGAATGCGAGACAAATGTCTAGGTGTGCCATATATCTCTCCTCTGTTCTCTTACATCTTTTTAGCAGCTTTGGAAGTAGCTTGAGTACTCACCAGTGACGGGTAAGGATTCTGAGTTTAGAAAGTTAGAGTAACTCAGCTGCTATGCCTGTACATTCAAAGCCTAGGCCTTCTAAATCCATTGCTGCTTTTGCTATCACATACTGCTCTCCTGAGCAACACTTCCTGCTCTTATCCCCTGTACACAGATCAAGCAAGAAGTAACCTCTTGTTTCTTTATTTTTCTTTTTCATCTAACAAAAGCTGTGCTTTGGTATAATGTCAGGAACTACCATTGTCTGGTACTGTATACTAGCCAGTAAATTAGCCACTAACTTCATGTAGCTATTTAAGTTAATTAAAATTAAATAAAACAAACAGTTGTTTCCACTAACTGCATTTCAGATGATTATGAACCACAAGAGTTGAGTGACTTTCTATTTTTGACAGCACAGATAAAAAACTTTTATCATCACAGAAAAGGTGCTGCCAGAGAACCAAGACAATTAGATTAAAAGCAGTCATGATTTAAAAACTCTTGTGTTACTTCAAATTGCCAATATCCTGGAGAATAGGATTTTACTGACAAATAATGGAAAATTCTGAGACTTTCCACAATTTATGAAGCCCATAGGACAAAGGATTCTGCAATTGGTAATGTTCCCAAGACTCAGTGTCATAAGGTGACTGACTTTGAGAATATTATGCCAGAGAAATGGTTCTTAAACTTAAGGCTATCTCAAAGTGACCTTCACAGCTCCTTAAAACTGGGATGCTAGGCACCACTTCCAGAGTTTCTGAAAGTAGGCCTTAAGGATTTGCATTTCTCAGAGGTTCACAGGTAATACTGATTCTCCTGATCCAAGGACCATACTTAAAAATTACTGCTCATGACTAATACTTAAATGCCCAGCAGCATGCAAACAGCTCTGCATGTATGAGTACCTCAGCTGCACACAGGAAGCCCTGGAGGCTAGTAGTGAGACTGCTTGCATTTAAATGTGAGAAAATGAAGATTTAGAGAATTTAAATAGCATGCTCAAGGTCCCAGGGTAAGAGACAGAGCTGATGTTGACACCACAGAGGTTCATGTGAGAATCTAGATGTTTTAAGTTTTTATAGGAAGGAAAAAAAATATGTAGGTGGAGCAAATACTTTGCTCAAGCAGGTGTGTATGTGTATGTGGAAAAGAGGTCAACAAGGAGATTCTTTTCCATGGATGCTCATTATTCAGAGACAAGCTGGAAAGTTTGCCCTGGGAAGGCAAGTAAATAAAATTAACATGTGCTAGTGCAAATGTCATCAGTTGTTTTTATTTTTTTTATTTTATTTTATTTTATTGAGAAATATCAATGAGACAGTTTCAAAGCTGAGTAACAGGACATTTTCAATAATTAATACCTCGTATATTGTTATCTTCTTGGTGGTTTTCCATAGTACAAGAAGCACACAGGATATCCTGTCCAAATACTATTCGTACAAATCTTTCTTCTCATTGAATTAAGCGAAAGTAGCCGTATATCTATCCTAACTATTTTGTATATACAAATAAAAAATGGTCCTTCCTTTGTATCCCCTTTTTTTGTTTCGTCCTGTTAGAGATGGGTATTCTGTTGGCATCGAAATACTATAAGTACTTGAATTCAGCCAAACAATCCAACACAGTCTAGCAGTCCACACTAGTAGTGGGTTATCTGCAGAAGTTGTTTACTTGAGCCTTTTACAGCTCAGCATATTAATATGGGTTTGCTTTATATACACCTTGTTTTTATACTTTTCTGCTGGATGGTTAAGACCAAGATAGAGTAAGACCTATATAATAAGAAATGTAACTTTTGTATCTGATAAGGCCAGTGAAGTCCCCTCAGGATTTATCCTGTAACCGTGTACCGCACTTTGTAGATCCTTTGTCAGTGTCAGCCATGTGAATGAATCACGGCCATTGCCTGACCAATTTGTTCTCTGTGAAAACCTGAGAGAATGTTTTCTCTCCTCCTTAGGCACACTATATATCATTGATCACATTCCTCTGTGGCCCCATAATCTCCAGTGTCATCAGTTAGATCCTTTTGAACTATGTTATATCCATCCTCAATGCTCAGAATGTTGCCCTCATTTAACTCAAGAAGAGATGGAACCCCATAGCTGCTTTTGTCATCAGATTATCTCCTTGAAATCCTCAAGACTGAGTTGAAACATTATTCCCTAGTAAATAATCTCTTCTTAGTCTGGCTTCAGGAAACCTATTTCACCACTGTTCCCGTTCTGTAGGAAAGCTGTTTTTTCCCCCCTGAGATATGGAGAATTTTTTTTTTTCTTTACAAAATTTATGTCTCATGATCTGTAAAAAAAGACTTAAGATTGTTGCTTGACAGCATGTCTACACTAGAAAGAAAATGGCAACAAAAGAATGTTACAAGAGAGAATAAACTCTTCTTACACCTTTGTTTGGTAGCCCTCCCTACCCATGCCCCACACCACATGGCACACTTTTTTTTTTACTGTAAATACTAATATCTGGCCTGTAGCAAAGTAGGCAGAGTCCTTCTCTCCTTCAGTGCTGCTGCTTCCATATCTATTGCATTTATACTTTTTGTATTTTCCTTAAGTATATGACTCTTGTCTCTGCATCTGACCATGTGACTTGCTTGACACGCTCTGTCCATGCCTTTTCTCTTCCAATTCCACCACCTTTATCTACCTGATTGTTATCTTCCAGTTCTTTGGCACTGATTAAAATGTGATGTTTTTCTGGGAAATCTTTCTTGACATTCCCTCACTTACAGCAAAAGGCTCTACTCACAAGGCCTCTATACTTCCTCTGTCACACAGGATTTGGTGAATGATTGCTTGGACCATCTTTCCCACTAGCCTGTAAGAACTGAGTCTGATTATCTTTGCATCCATATCCGATATCCAGTGTAGTGTCTGGTATAGGCATTCCACAAATATTTGAGAATTAAATGATAGAAGTAGACCCAAAAAAAGAAATAAAACCTGAAAAGTATAACAGATACAGGTAAAAAGAAATGGAACTTAAGGATTAAACAACAAAGAGGAGAGAAAGAAGAAACAATAGGAAAAATGGCAGGGGCAAAAAGTATATATACAAGATGGCTAAGGTGATTGTACTAAGAATTTCCGTAAGTTTTTCGAAAATAGCAGTTAATGTGTAGAATTCTCACCTTGACTAACTCTGTATGCTAATATCTGTAAACTAAGCAACTGCATTGAGGACAGCAATGTGTAATGCAAAAGCCATGCTTGAAATACCTGTCATCTTGGTCTTCTAAATGTGTACCATTTCTAATTTCATATCAATTATTATTATATTCTTTAAAATAATTATTTAGAAAAAGGTGATAAAAGAAGACAAGAATAAAGATTTACAATTTCTTGAAAGCAAACGAAAATACTCAGTCATGTGTCAAATGTTACATATCTGTTAATCTGAGCAACATATTTGACGATAAAAATAGATAATGTATCAATCATTGTTAATCAGCTATTGTTTTGAAAATCTGTAACATATGTATTGTATGTTACCCTGTTTCTTTTTTTTTTTAACTCTTCAAAGTAAAAGAAAATTTAAATAAATAAATAATAGGAGTAATTAGTGCGTAAGGACTGGTAAGTTTTTAAATTAATAAAGACCCCAATATCCCACTTCTGGGACAGCTTAAATTAGGTTACATTTACATAACAATAGTGTTTCCTAGTTTAGTCTTAGTTCTGTGTGATCTTGCTGAAGTAAATGCTGCATTATTTTGTGTTTAAATTTGTCAGGGTAAAAGGATCAGCCTTCTTCCACAGATATCTTCTTCTCACCCTGCTTAAAAAAAAAAATCTGATTCCATTTCCTCGGGCTTAGCCCTTGATGATGAGAATTATCTTCTTTGACTCTCCCTGAAATCATTGTACTTGTTCTTGTGTCTCCAGTGATAATAGAGTGACATCCTTCAGAGACCTCATTCATGACCAAGATGAGGATGACGAGGAGGAAGAGGGCCAAAGGTAAGTGTTCGGTGGGAGGTCAGTGCCCATGACAAGTTCAACAGTAATGCATGAATCACCTGGAACAGAACACATGCTCAGTGAATGTTAACTATTACTGTTGGTAGGGTCTTATTCCCAGAACACAGCCTGTTTCCTGTAGCTTACAAGTCCTACCTGTCCCTTGAAACTTATTTTCTTTCTTTTGTAGTATTTTGGGTTTGTTTTTGGTTTTTTGGGTTTTTTGACTGAAAAAACATTTATTTTTTGAGGAATATTGGGGGAAGAAAACAAGCTAATAGGAAGGAGAAAGAAAGTCATTTATACTGTTACAGGCCATGCACAACAAATAACAGTATTTTTAGTTTCTACCCTTTTGTAGGCAAAAGCAATACATAAATAATAAGTAGAATAATAAGTTTATAGATTTATATTCTCCCAATCCTTGCATGCATAATCTGTTTTTCAGTTTTAGGAATGTTACAGTAAAGTTAATGTACATTATAGAAAATGTGGATTAGTATAATGAAAAATACTAATTTATCTTTTGGTAACGACAGTTAATATTTTGGTACATTATTCAGTCTTTATAAATATACTTTATATTTTACATGATGAAGCTCAGGTAATTTTGCTTTTGTTTTATTAGATTAATGCTAAATCTTAAAAAATTCTCAATATCATTAAAATCATCATTTTTAAAGTCTATAATCCATCATATGGGATGTCCAACATTTTGATTATTCCTAGTTTTTTACTACTATAAGTATCAGTGCTGTGAATATCTTTGTGTATTAATCTTTGGCCACATCTCAGGTTATTTTCTTACAGTAGTACTAGAAACTATCTCATCTCTCTTCAACAGAGCTTCCCAGCTCTTAAGCTAAGGCTTGGAGATCCCTTAATGAAGATCTTGTAGTCCACTGAGTAGAACTTTCACTATCTGCATCAAATAAAAATGAACTGGCCGCAGCCACACATCACTGGTTTTAGTTCCTTATGGATCTGCTTCAGCCTGTTGAACATTCCTGAGGAACATCATACAGAAACCATTATGTAAATGCAGCTCTGTCACAATGGTTAGTCTTTAGGAAGTGAACTGAGAATTACATTTTTGCTGTTTTGTTGCTTTCTGTTTGTTTGTTTGTTTGGAAACAGTGTAGTTCAAGGCTGGTCTTGTCCTGTCTCAGCCTCCCAAGTGCTGGGATTACAGGCATGCCCTACAATACCCAGCTCATATTATATTCCTTGAGGTAGTGTCATCCAGTATATAAATACCAGCCTTTACTTTCTGCCTAGCCATATCTTATAAACTGTGACCTTCTATTTTTCATATTCTACAACTCTCTTGGCCTTAGTATTTCAGACCTAAAGCAACACTATCACCTTGTCCCTGCCAAGACCTATGCTTTGCATCATATTTCATAATGAATGCAGGATTGAGGCCTAAAAGTAATTTTGGGGGCGGGGGGGCTGACTCAGAATGCCTTCAGGGCAGGTTTGGCTGGCTTGAGTTGTGGGGATTGAACCACAGCAACCTGAGCCTGACTGCTTTGTTGAAGCAGCCACTTAAAGAACTGAGCTAAGGGGCAGGCCTCCTAAAAGTAATTTATACTAGTTCTCATCTCCCAATTTTAGGATATACTATTTCTTAACTATGAATAGGAGTAATAAGCAGCTATATTAAAATTGGTTTTCAGGTCAAGGTAACAATAAATAAATAAAAGTACTGACTTAATCTAAAGCCAGTCTTCACCCATTATAAAGCATGGTATAGATATCTTAGAGCTTATGTTTGAAATTGGAGCTTCCCTGGCCTTCTCCAGTACCATCTTCTCAGGGCTCCCAGTGTATGTCACAAGAATGACAAGGTGAGGTGAGTCTTGGGGAAGCTCTTGGTGCTGTGTCATACCACCTCACATGTGTGCGTTACTCTGCTTGTTCTTTTGCATACATCTGCTGATTTGAACCTCACGGCCCTGACTTAAGGAGCAGGTAGGTAGGGCATGTGGTCCCTCCCTCCCGTTTCAGAGACAAGGACAGTATACAGAGCAGTGCATTAGTTTACCTAGATCACAGTGACAGAGCCAAAACTAGAGCCTAGCTGCTTATACTAACCATGCCACAATTATCATTAATTTAGATGAGGTAGCAGCTTCTGACTGGAATTATAGTCATTGTCTCAGAGAGGTGCTGGCATGCATATTTACAGTCACAGTTCTGGTGCTGTCCTGCACTGACATGCTGTTGTGCATGCCTGGAATGCCCTTCTCCAGTCTGTTCATTTGATAACTTCATCTTCCAGACTCAGCCCAGAGACATTCCTTAGAAAAACTTGGGTGTCCTTCCCAGCTCATTGTGTCCAGAGGCCCATTATTGTCTTCATGACTTCTCTCTCACATTGCATCATACCTGCCTGCCTTCTTACATGTGTCCACAAGTAACCAATAAGTTCTTTAAAACTAGAAACTTTATCCTTTGCTTCATTGTGCCTAGAACCTGTGGCATGTTTTGTCCCTTTTCCAAGTGCAGTTGGTGTTAGAAATGTGTTCTCTACACAGGTTTTATGCCGGGGGCTCAGAGAGAAGTGGACAACAGATTGTCGGTCCTCCCAGGAAGAAAAGTCCCAACGAGCTGGTGGATGATCTCTTTAAAGGTGCTAAAGAGCACGGAGCCGTAGCTGTGGAGAGAGTGACCAAGAGTCCTGGAGAGACCAGTAAACCAAGAGTGAGCATTAAGGGTCATTACCTGTGCCTATAGTGCTCAGGTTCCACAGTGGAGAGGGGTCCTCTTTTACTCCACTGGTGACAGTTTCTCTCATTTGCTCACATGATCGCCTGTGCAGAAGACTAGTATAGTATCTCTTACCTTCAACATGAAACCACGATATTCAGAACAGACTTCTCAAACCTGTGACCTACAGTCTACATCCCAAATTGAATTTCTGTATTAGGAGAAATCAGAAAGTCTTTGATATTAATCATGCATCCAAATCTGTACATGGCCATATTTACTTAAATTTTAGTAGCATCTGTTCCCTTTGGCCAGGCATTCTATGCATTTCAGGTTTCACTGCCATCTTGGCCATTTGATTTATTTACCTCATTGCCTGACTCTGTCAGTACAGAGAAAGTGCATCTACGTACTTGTTTGATTAGGAATCCTGTCCTCTTTCATTTACCTAAGATGCATCATTGTACCTCAGTGACTCCACCACCAAGTGTTTGTGAACTTGTTTTTTATAGCCCTTTGCAGGAGGTGGCTACCGTCTTGGGGCAGCACCAGAGGAAGAGTCTGCTTATGTGGCAGGAGAAAGAAGGCAGCATTCCAGCCAAGATGTAAGTGTGCTTCTGCCTTATTTACACAAGCTTCTTGTGAATTGTGAGTCCTGCCCATTTTCAGAAGGAATTGATCACTCCACCTCACATGTGTGCATTACGCTGTACATGAACCAGCATTCACTAAGAGAGGTCTTGAGAGACACTGCACTTGACTATTCTCTGAACAGTGGCCCTTACAGGAATATCAGAGACAACATTCAACTCACTGGACAAGGTATGATAAAAAGGGGTAGAAGATGGATGGATGGACATTCTGTGGACCTAAGGCAGAAGTACAGTGTATTCGGATTTGCTACTGATGCAGTTGTGGCTAAAGAATTTGCTTTTCAGACCACCAGGGAAAGTTATGCTTCACCCTGAAACA